TTAATCATTTACTATTCATACATCATCTTTTGTAAAGTGTTCAAATATTTTGTCCATTTTAATTTTTGTTTTATTTGCTATTTCTGAATTTCTTTTTCTTCCTTTCCTTTTTTCAAGAGAAGTGTCTTTACTGGCTGGGCAGCCTACAAGAGGGGGATGAAGCGGGAGGAGTGGGCGGCCCCGATGCCAGGTGGGCCGTGCTTCACAGGCTTGTAGGTGATGGAGAACTCCCCTCCATAGTGACCCATCATCCCGGGCTTGATCTCCACTTGGTTTAAGGTCTTGCCATTGTAGGCGCCCACCATGTGCCCACCATTTCCAGTAGGATGATTGTGTCCTGCAGGTGACACAATCTACTACCCTGGGTAGAGTGCCCTGGTCTCACAGGCTCACAGCAACCTCAAACTCCTGAGCTCAAGCGATTCTCTTGCCTCAGCCCCCTACCCCCCACCCGTGTAGCTGGGACTACACCTGCTGGCTGCATCACCCAGCTATTTTTTGAGACGGAGTCTTCCTCTTGCTCGGGTGTCCTCGCCACCTCTGGCTTCTCCAGGAACGGCACCTCCTTCTTGGCTCTGCAAGCTCTTCTTCCAGGACAGGTCTCTGTTCGCTGTTTGCTGTTGGGCACAGCCAGCTGCATCAGCTGCTCATAGGACATACCCACCCTGGTGCAGGTCCATGCCACGGTAGGTGCACTTGCAAAAGGTCCACTTCTTTTTTTGGGGGACAATCTCACTATACATCACCCTGGGTAGAGTGCCGTGGTGTCACAGCTCACAGCAACCTCCAACTCTTGGGCTTAAGCGATTCTCTTGCCTCAGCCTCCCAAGTAGCTAGGACTATAGGCACCTGCCACAACGCCCACCTATGTTTTTGTTACAGTTGTCACTGTTGTTTAGCTGGTCTGGGCAGGGTCTGAACCCACCTGCCTTGGTATATATGTGGCCAGCGCCCTAACCACTGAGCAACAGGCACTGAGCCTGTTAATATATTTTAAAAAGTTTTATTATCCTAATTTATGGGGCAGTCCTGAAGGACTTCTGATAACATACAAATATCTAACTCCATTTTAAAGCATTTCTAGGAAAGGAAAAATTTATCTCATTCTGTTTTGGTATTGTAAAACTTGTACTGTAAGAACTTATTGACTCCAGATAATGATCATTTAAGGTCATTTTTCTTGGCTACCCTTCATTTCAGTTTCTGAGTTAATACAAAAATATTCAGAGATAATTTGTGATTAGGCATTGTACACTTATTATATTTCAATATATAGTAGGCATTTTCATCTGTTAAAAGATAAAAAATTATTTCATAAATGATATGCCCTTATTTTCTCTTTCCCAATAGTCTCAATCAATATGAAAAGGATGAAAAATAATAATTCAACTAAGTACTAGTTCATTTGCTACATTTTTCCACCTTTAACCTCTTTACTAATGAGCTAAAAGAAAAACAGCTTCTTTGGTGGGAAAAAGATAATCGTTGCATTTAGGATTCACTTTCTTTTCCAAGTTTAAGAGTTTTTTAAGGCATCTGGATCTCACATAATAGGATAAAAGCAGCTGCTAAAGCCCACTCTCTAAAAAAAAATTTTCTCTACAATGTTGGTGGTGGCTTGGGGGTTACAAGGCTGGTTGCCCTTACCTAAGAGATACTGAGCAAGACTCTAACCCGAAAACAGGAGCTAAGTGCGAAGATGCAAGTGTCCATGTTGCCCGGCTGTCCCTCGCCCAGTCCAGGTAGGGACAAGTGGGAGATTTCTTCTTGGACTTATCCTTTGATCCTTCAGCACATATCCTCAGCAGCAATTGTTGGGGGGTGGGAAAGAGCATCTGTCTTTATATTTGCCTTAAAATGTATGAAGGTCCAATTTGAAAAAAGGCTTAATTACATAAATACACACGGAACTCTTACTATAGATGCTCAGCTGTACTTTGCATGAGTCATCACACATGAGATCAACAGCCCAAGGAGATTTGCTATTTTGATTATGGACACACAGATGTGTATGTGATTGTGGGTGGGTGTGTATTCAGCAGAACCTTTGCAAGTGGACCGCCTAAGGGACTGTAACACAGGAGGTGAGGTGGTCAACACAAGGGCCTAGGCCTACTGTACTGACAGGTACATGTGGTTTGTGCCCCATCTGTGAAAATTAGGTCAACTTGAGGTGGTCAGTGTAGGGAGGTAGTCAACTATGGAGGTTCTACTCTATACATGTTTTGAACTCAGATTTCTATTTCGACTCTCAATGCATTTGTATTTTAAAAACATTTGTAATTGTGGTAAAAAACACAACATAAATTTATCACGTTAGCCATTTTTAAGTGTACTGTTCAGTAGTGTTTATTCATATTGTTGTGCAAAAGAGCTTCAGAAATTTTTCATTTCGCAAAATTGAAACTTGGTATCCACTGAATACCTCCACAATTCTCTCTCTCAAGTTCTTTGTCTTTGTGAATTTGGGTGCTTTAGGTATATAAGTGGCATCATGCAGTATTTGTCTTTCTCTGATTATTTCACTTATTTCACTTAATACCCACTGATAGTCCACTGTGTGTATACACCATGTTTTGTTTATCCATTCATCTTTTAATGGACATTGGGTTGTCTCTACCTCTTGGCTATCATAATGTTCCTATGAAAATATGTGTACAAACATGTTTTCAAGACTTTGCTTTCAATTTTTTAAAGATATATGCCCAGAAGTGGATTTGCTGCATCATATAGTAAGTCAGTTTTTAATTTTTTCAGGAATCACCATTTTACAATCCCACATATAATGCACAAGGGTTCTAATTTATTCACATCTTTGCCCATACTTGCTTTCTGGGTTTTGTTTTTTTTTTAATCTTAGCCATCCTAATGGGTGTGAGGTGCTCAATACATTTTTTCGACAATGACATACTTTCTTTTCATGCATTATTTCATTCTCTAAGAATCCAAAGGCAAGGCCACTGGCCAGATTCAAAATGATGCAGTCTATGACCTTCTGGTTTCGTCTTAAATTTAAATTGCTCCTTTTGAAAGTAAAGTGAAAAAAAAATGATACAAAGTCCTTACTTTTTATTTTACTCCATTTTCTATCTAGAAATAAGTATGCTTATACTTTTCTCCAGCTGTCTTAGATTTATGGTTACTGAAACATGACATAACATAATGGCTGAGTAAGGCCACTGAAATACATCAGTTTGAATCTCCTTTTCCAAGTCCCAAACCCACTATTTCTTCTCTTCAACCACAAACCACACCCATTGTTTCTTCTTAGGTCTGAGGCCTATATGGCCCTTTTTACAGCCACTAAATATACTCAGGCATTAAAAAGAAAATAGTTAAGTATCTCATATTCAAAAAGGACCTCTTCCCTGGCCTGTAGCTCATGCCTGTAATCCCAGTTGAAGTACAGTTTGAGACCAGCCTGGGCAACATAACGATAGACCCTGCCTCCAAAAAAAAAAAAAAGAAAGGCACCTCTTTGCTCCTCTCCAGAAACTACTCACACCATACTACCAATGCCCCTTACTTTCAAGGCACCAAGTTCTTATCTTAACCACCCCCTCCACAATGGTCCCACCTCCTATTCAACTGAGTTCGCTTGGGCTTTTCTGGTGAAATTTGCCCTTTTGTCTTGAGGTCAGCGACTTCTTGAAGGGCGCAAGCTGACCAGGATTCTGAGCCAGAGACGGGACACCCTCTAGCCTGGGGGTCTGGCAGACTGTCACCTGCTGCTGCCCAGGCTTTTTGCTGCCAGGCTTAGAAAGAAGAGCGAGAAGAGAGGCTAGGAAAGAGGTTGCAGAAGGAATCGTGGCAGCTGGTGGGTCGGGACAGTGACTGTCCCCTTATATCCCTGCCTCCTTGGTCCCCGCCCCATCAAGTTCCAGATACCCAGAAGGAGGTCAAGCATCTGCAAGCCACTGCTAACCTTTTCCGCGCCATTCCTCGTGGGGCACCGTTCCTGTGCCCAGAGGGAGGGCGGGCGGGTGTGGGGGGGTGCGGATTGGCGTGGGATTCACTCTGGTGGAGGACGCTGGGCCGTCACGCGGGCGCAGTGGCAACCGTTCCTCCGAGATAAGTCCCGGGCAGCCCAGGGTGGTGCCGGAAGCCCGCGCTTGTGGCTCCGGGGGAGGGGAGGGCTTCACGGGTCCCTGCACAACGCCGCTGTCCCCGCGACGTCGTAGGTTAAGTAGCCCCATGCAGGGCCTCAAAAAGCGACATGCAGAGTCCGAGCCACTGATCACCAGCCAGCTGCTCCGAGTTTCGCCCGTGCACCCATCGCCCGCCCTCCACGTTTCGCTTTTCAGCACAGCTGCAGGATTTGCTTGTCCCTGGTGGCGCTTCCCGCGCTCTGTGCGGTGGCGCAGCGCGAAGCTCAGCCGGGTCCGCACGCCCAAGTAAGGCACCGGTACTAGGCGGCGTGTCGGGCCAAGGAGGCCGCCCCTTTGCACACCTGCCCCCAGGGCTGGGCGGAGCGGGGCGGGGCGCGCCGGCGCGCAGGTCGCGGGTGCGGACGCTGGAGGGGGCTGTGGCTCTCCCGCTGTCCCCGCGGCTCCGGCGGCGCGGCGCCCAGCCTCCCCCATCCGAGGGGCCGGCCCAGGCC